ATTCGTTGGTGCTTAAGGACACGGTGCAGTGAGGTGGTGTTAAGAAGGTGGTTATTGGAGATGATGGTGTTATGCGGCTTCTGGCTTTGATTTGTATTCCTAATATTGACGGTTTAATGGAGTTGATTCTTGAAGATGCTCACAATTTGAGATATTCTATTAATTAGGTGTCACGAAGATGTCATGACTTGAAGAAGCTTTATTGGTGGCAGAAGATGAAGAAGGATATTGTTGGACATGTTTCCTGCTATTTGAATTACAAATAAGTGAAGTATGAACATCAGAAACCAGGTGGTTTGACTCGGAAGTTAGTTATACCGGAGTGAAGGTGGGAGCGTATTACTATGGACATCATGGTAGGCTTTCCATGTACTTTGAAGAAGTTCATGCCATTTAGGTCATTGTCGATAGATTGACCAAGTTTGCACATTTTATACTGGTGTTGACAATATATACTTCAGAGAAGCTGGCTTGTATATACATCAGAGGGATTGTACGGTTGCATGGTGTGCCTATTTCTATCATTTCAGACCGGCGTACTCAGTTCACTTCTCACTTTTGGAGAGTCATTCAATATGAGTTGGTCACATAGGTGGAACTTAGCATAACTTTTCACCCATAGACAGATGGTTAGTCCAAGAGGTTTATTCAGATTCTTGAGGATATGCTTAGAGCTTGTGTGATTGACTTTGAGGGTTATCGGGACCAGTTTATACCATTGGTAGAGTTTGCATACAATAACAGTTACCAGCCCAGAATTTAGATGGCTACATATAGGGCTTTGTATGGTAGGTGATGTCAATCTCCCATTGGTTGACTTGAGCCTGGTGAGGCTCGTTGTTCGGTACAGATTTCGTTCGTGATGATTTGAATAAGGTGAAGTTGATTCAGGAATGACTTCATACAACTCAGTCTAGGCAGAAGAGTTATGCAAATAGGAAGGTCCGTGATGTAGAATTTATGTAGGATGAGAAGGTACTTATGAAGATTTCATCCATGAAGGGCATGATGCGGTTTGGAAATAAAGGCAAGTTGAGTCTGAGGTTTATTGGTCCATTTGAAGTATTGGAGAGAGTTGGTGAGGTTGTTTATAGGCTTGACTTTCCTCCTAACCTTTTGGGAGTTCATCCGTTATCCCATGTTTCTATGCTCTGGAAGTATCACGAAAACAAGTAGAATGTTTTAGACTCCAGCACATTGTAATTAAATGAAAATCTAGCTTATGAAGAAGAGCCAGTGGCCATTTTGGATAGGCAGGTTCAAGAGTTGAGGTCAAAGGAGATCGCATTGGTCAAGGTACTTTGGAGAGGCTAACCGAGTAAGGAGGCTACTTGGGAGACCGAGTTAGATATATGGAGTGTATATCTACATCTTTTCAACAGCTTAGGTATGTTTCTAAACCCGTTCATGTTTGTTTAAGAGGCGGAGAATGTAACGATCCGACTGATCATTTTAAATATTAGGACCATGTTCCTCTATTCTTGCTTTCTGTAGGTTCATTTGATGATATGTGTCTTGCGACAACGGGTGATTTTATTTTCGTAGGGTTCGAAAGTGAGTTGGAGTACTTAGTTTCTATTTGGAAGGCTTAAGTTGTAAGAGTTGATCAAGGTTTGAATTTTGGATTAATAACGGGGATGGGTGATTTGAAGGCTCCATAGGTTCATATGATTATTTTGGACTTATATGTATGTTCAAATTGCATTTTGGATATTCCTAGAAGGATTCGACACTATTTGTCGAAAGTTGAAAATTTGAAAGGCTTAAGAGTTCATAAGTTTGACCGAGAGTTGATCTTGATATTATTGGACTTCGATTAGTGTTACAAGACTTTGGATATGTATATATAGTTGAATTTAACTTATGTGTAAAGTTTGAAAGTAATCTGAAGTGTCTAAGTGTGACTTGGACACTCTTTCGAAAGAATGAAGGATTAAGAACTTAAAAGAAATCCTATTCGGTTTGAGCCATGATTCTTTTTGTGATATTTCCATGGATGTTTTGAGCCATTAGACTAGTCCATACATGGTATTTGAACTTGTAGTAATGATTGGATTGAGTCATGAGGGGCTCAGGTGAGTTTTGACATATTTGGAGCATGTTCCGAAAGAATTGATTTCCTGAAACAAGGCTTTTATGCATATGGACTGACTTCAAAGAGCATTTCTCCAAATATATAAATAATTTTGGTATGATGATGTTTTGATGATATTGTAGCGCTTTTAGTCTAGTTTCTAGTGGTTCAAACCGTTCGTTATCCCGACTTTTGTATAAGTAGTTATGGTTATTTTACTGAATGGTGTCAGTATAATTTTGAGTGCTGGCTCATTCTAAAATGGATCTGCGACCCACATTCTATTTTGAAGGCCTGCAGACTTGTGTTGCGGTTACCTGTGCATATTTTTTATAGCAACTTTTCCGAGCTATTTAAGGTCGAGTTTTATAATTTTTATTTTATTTCCTAACTTTAGGAGCTTATTTTAAAAGGTTTGAGGCTAGAGTTTCACCCACAAGTTTGGAGGTAAGTAAGTTAAACCTAAATCTATGGTTTATACATGAACTTATCTCTAGATTTAATACCAAAATATTGATTTGAACAAGAGAATATAGGGATTTTGAGATCTAGAACTAGAATAATCCAAATTGAGTCTTGAGTATCCAAATAAACTCCATATGGAAAAATAAACACAAATTTGGACTCGCGGGGTTATGGGTAAACATGATCTACCCATATACTCGGGTTTTGATTATGTGTGTTTGGGTTGACTTTTTGGGAATTGATTAACATTATTGTTTGAAATTGATTCATTTGACTTTATTTGACCTTATTGAGTATTGTTTGATTAGAATTGAGTTGGTTCAAGGTGATTCTAAAGAAAAAGCGATTTTGGAAGGTTGATTTGACTTTCAAATGTAAATATCTGTCTGGATTTGGCTCGAGGGAATTTACCTTAGAAGATTGACCTTGTTTGATTAATTTGTATATATTGGGAGAATATATGTGGTATGGCGAGCGTATATACATGTGTCATGGGCTATTCATGCTTGGAGCAGAATTTTAGGCTACTTTATGCTTTCGATTTACATCACATGCTCCTTATGACTCGTTATTATTCTTGTGTGATTATGTGAGCTCTCTTAATTATGCTAGAAACCATGTCTTAGACTTTTGGTAGCTTGTTGACTGTATATGTCTATTTGTGACATCATGTCCTACTTGTTCTAGCTGTAATCACACTGTTCATATGCACATGTCTTTGCAGATCCAAGTGTTGGCACTAGCAGAGCTAAAGAGTAAATCATCGGTGTGCTAAGGAGACTTGAGGTAGTATAATTTATTCATTTGCTGGCTTCGAAGTCACCTTACTTTCATGTTTTAAGACTATTGCTTACTTCAAACAGTATTATATTTATTTCAGACTATTGTATTCTGACAATCTTAGAGCCTATGTACTCGTTGATGCCAGTTTTTGGGGGGTTATATTACTGTTTTCGCATATTGTTGTTGGTTTTAGACTTATTTAAGCTTTAATCTCATTTAGACTTGATATAATGCTTCATTTCTGCTATTTACTCGTTAGTTGTGTGATTAGTTCACTTAACCGGCGTGTTAGGTTCCATCAAGATCATTGGTGAGATTTTGGGTCGTGACACCAATAATGAAGTCTTCAAATCACAATGATGTTAGTTCAATTTCTATTCGAGGAAATTTGACATACCACGACCAAGAGGCTGTAGGATATTGATTGTCAGCAAGGGCTAAACACCTTCCACGAAACTTCCAACACCAAACTTATTTTCAATGTGTGGCGTTTACCTTTTGTCATCTTGTTCTTGTCTGACCTTTATTTAATTCTTGATTATTTATATTAGCCCTTCTTTTTACCATGTTTTAAAGGACAAAATAATGGAAAGAGAATATCAGAATACTGACTTCCTCTTTTGTGGTCAACAAAACATTGCCAACGAATGATTTAGGCAATAATATAATATTTATTAAAAAAACAAAAAGAAGATTGTACTCCCATTTTATATTAAGTTAAGCAACTATTTAGACACATCGACGTCCCAATTCCTCGTCCTAATTTCTATATATGCCTAACAAGGTACAACCACATCTAGCGCAGTAAATACAATCTCTTAAATGTGCAATAAAAGATGGTTTTGACTAATTGGGTTATAAGCCATGTTTAGGCATGCAAGAATGGCTATAAAAGAAAAATAAATAAATGAACTGATATTGATAAAAAGAAAGGTAATAATAATAAGTGATGTTGGTGTGCTGATGTTAACCTAGTATATGTATGTATAAGCAACGTCGTAGGCAATGTTTAATTGGGACTAGTGGAAAGAAGAATCTCTTAACATGAAATTTAATATTGTATATATAATGTTTGATTTTATTTTACTTTTTCACATAAAATTATGTATACAAAGAATATAATATGGGTCAAATTATTCTTTTCAGCATAACTACTAATTGCATAAGTTATGTGAAATTTTATGAATTGTTTTACGTAGGATAAAACACAGAAATAGAATGTGGTGATGAGTAATACATTGATTATACTCCCTTCGTCCCGTTTTAGCTGCCGCTTTAGTTATTTTTACGTTCAGTAAGAAAATAATAAATACAAGGTATAATTTACTAAGTTACTCATATTAAATATTATTTGAGAAATAAACATTATTAAAAAAGAATTCTAGTTCTTTAATATTAAGGGTATTGTTAAAAAAATTAACAATGTTAGTCTTGAATATCTAAAGTGACAATTATTTTTGAACAATTTATTTGAATTCAAAGAGACAACTAAGATGAGACGGAGGGAATAATAACTAAATGACAAAAATAACTAATATTTCATCACTGTTAAGTAAAGATATATATTTTTTTACACAATACATTGTTTTAAAAAAAATTATTAAGCTGGTAAAAAATGATACCCCACGCATCAGCCATATCCATAGTTGAGTGGAGTAGTATGTATATTTAAAATGAAAATTTCTCTTTTATAAAGAAGCTGAATGGCTGGTGCTATATTCCGCGTCCAATGGTTGCTACTATAATAAATCGCCACTTGTCATTCAACTCTGTTTTAGGGGACCGTTCATGGACTCCCTTTAAACGGTTTTTCTAGCAGTCCGTCATTCTCGTAGCCATAACTGTTCTCCTGATTTTATTTTGCCTTTGAATATTTGTCCGTACATTCTTTATACGTAAAACTGTTGTAAACAAATTATAGCAAAGAAAAAACTTGAAACCATGTGGAAAACTTCATGTTATGTGTTGAAACGGACGGTTACATCAGCTGCAAGGGCAAACAAGAATGGGTTAATTAGTCAACATGGATGGTTTAACGGGTCGAGCCGGGTTATGGGTGGGTATTATTTCAGTTCGGGAGGAGAAAACAAGAATGGGAATGGAGGGTTAATTAGTCAAGAGGAAGCAAAGAGGTTGATGAGATTGGTGAATGTGGAGGAGCTGAAGACGAGGCTAGGGATGGAGAGTAAAGAGGTTATTGGGTATTCGGAGTTACTGAGAGTGTGTGAGAATATTGGTTTGGCGAAAACACAAGGCGAAGCTGTGGCTTTTGCAAGAGTGCTTGATGAGGCTGGGGTAATTTGGCTTTTCAGAGATAAAGTTTATCTTCACCCTAATAAGGTATTTTTCTCTTTTAATTTCACCCCTTCTTAATATATGGATTTTCTTTTTTGCCCACATGGAGTCGGTTGGAACCCGACAAATTCGAAGATAAAGTGCTCCCTACTAAATGAAACTCCAATTGATAAGACATCTGATTAAGGACGAAATATAATATGTATGAATGTATCTTTCATTCTTTTTTTGTATGTGGGATAGTGGGAAAAGGGGTTTGATTTCTTTGTATATGATTTACTATGATTTAATGTATCTTTTAAGTCCAACTTGGTTGTTTCTGAATTTGCATTTGACTAATAATACTTTTATATGTGCAGGTAGTTGATGAAATAAGAAGGGCAGTGCCTCTAGCACTTCTACCTGAAGATGATCCTACAAAAGATGAGCTAAAGAATCTGCAGGAGAAGAAGGATAAAATTGATGAGGTTGCACATAAGCAGGTGCGTCGCATTTTGTGGACTGGATTGGGGGTTGGTATTTTACAGATTGGGCTCTTCTTCCGCCTTACCTTCTGGGAATTCTCTTGGGATGTAATGGAACCAATTACATTTTTCACTACTAGTACTGGTTTAATACTGGGATATTTTTACTTCCTCATTACTTCTAGAGACCCAACATACCAAGATTTGTTGAAGAGGCTTTTCCTTGCAAGGCAGAGGAAGCTCATCAAAAAGAATAATTTTGATATTCAGAGGTTTGTGGAGTTACAAAAGAAATGCAAATTACCCATCAATGGACAAGCATCGCTCAAACATCGCTTAGGGATACAACTGGAACTGGAGGATCTTTTACATGGTCACTGAAACACATCTCTCACATACATACTTCATTTACTTATCTTTCAACCAAGGCAAACCAGATTGTTTTGGAAGAGAAGTGAAATCTTTTTTGGGGGAATTCAGAAAATTACTTAAAAGTAACCAACCAAACACCTTTTTAGAAGAAAATTTTCTTAGAGCTGTACAAATGGGCATGTATTCTTCAACATCTTCTTTCAAGGTAGGCTTAGAAAGAAGTAATTCTTGACCATCATATTTCAATTAAGCTTACAGATCTCATATGTTAGCTTGTTATCTTGAAGTTGTATGTAGAGACTGATGTTATACATTCGATTTTGAATTTTTGTTGTTCCACTAGTGATAATGTAGCTTGTAATATCGAAAAATTGGGCGAAGATTGCAAAGAATATAATCGTGATTGCATAGATGCTTTTTATACTAGATTCTTTGTTGGTGGGATAAGAGGGTTAGCTAAATTTACTCTTTTTTTAGTTGACGACTAGTAATTTACCTTTCCGTAGGAGAAGGTATCAAATATGTATGACGCGGACACATCTCTTCTTATCTTTTCTTGATTTATCTTTCACTCAATGTCTTCTTCAGTAAAGACCTCATTGTCTTCTTCATACATGGGCTTGACTAAGGATTTGCAAATGTGAGGAATAGGCTTCGAGATAACCAAACTATTTTTATTTTTTTTGCGGTCTTTGGCCCATTTTCGATCAGCTTCTGTGGGCTTGAATCCTAGGCCTAAAGTGTCTCTCTTTTCGTAAGCCATGATGGGCTCAGTGATGCCTTGCAGAGATGCCCCTAGCCCTTTTCCTGGTTTGTACCATTTTTCAACATCTGGGTTGCTTGTAGTAGATAGTGCGGTCCCCTCTTCGCATCTATCAGCGACTACTATGTCGAAGGCATGGTAAACAATAGATTCGTTGTCCTTTCTGGCTTCGAGGCATGGGATTGAGGGGTCTTTATATATTGAGAGCTCATCCTCCTCTTGGACAACTATTTCTTGGTTGTCATGCTCAAATTTGACTACTTGATGGAGCGTGGAGGCGATGGCCTGAGCAGTGTGGACCTACGGTCTTCCAAGGAATGATTTTTAATCCTTGAAGGGTGGAGACAGGGAAAATATTGACCCCTGAATCGCCATCAATCATCTCTATTCACGTAATGCTCCTAGCACTTGACGGTCACGTGAAGGGCTCTATTAAGACCGCCCCATGAATAGGTAATTTACTATCACTGAAAGATATCTTGTTTAGATCAAAGAATCGTTCAGCCATTCTCTCTATTGGCTCACTGTTGTCGAATCTAGGATATATGCTTCATTCAAGGTTTCGATCAGCACCTTGCAGTGTTCATCTCAGCTCAATAGTAATGACATGAGAGATATTTAAGCCAGAGTCTATCTGACTTGTCCCACTATATAGTATCCGGGGACCTTCATCTTTTTATATAATTGCTCCGCTTCTTCATCAATAACAGGCTTCTTTAGAGGCATCCTGTTATCCCGATTCTACTTTGCCTTTCTCAACTCTTCTAGTTTATAGTACCTCCCAGACCAAGTCATCTCATTGACATCTTCCACGATCTCTTTCCCTTTATATGTGACTATAGTCTTGTTATAGTTCTAAGGGAATGTCTTGGTATCTTTTATCGGGATCTGGGATGCAGGACTGATCACTACAGGCTCTGTCAGCCTTTCAAACATTCTTGAGCCTCGTGAAATCTTTGGTGGCCCTCCAAAGACATATAATTTTGGCACATTCAGATTGAACTTCTCTTTATTTGCCGCCTTGGGAACACTCAAAAAGAAATGCTCTTTGCTTGATTCCTTCGGAACATACAATACCAATTTACCTTTAGGCACCAACGCAGTTCTTATTTTGAGCATTGGATGATCGGAGTTTTCTTCTTCTTGGCTTCTGCAATTGCTTTCGATTTTTCTTCGGGAGAAGTAATGGCCACTATAGATTTTCAAGTTGGCCAGCATTCTTTATCACCACATATCATGCCAATCACCGGCCCATTATTTTGAGCATGTAAAGGATTGTTGGTAACATTGGGAGCCTCCTCCTCTCGGATCAAAATAGCTTTTGTCTTAATCAGATCTTCCACAACTCTCTTTAAAGTCCTAATATTTTCAGTATCATGACCTACGGCCTCTGAGTGATATTCACTTGCATCTGCTCTGAATGATAGTGAGTCGGGGTCTGCCTTTTTAGGAGCTGCTTGCTGCAACAAATCTAAGCGAGTCAATTTTCTTAAAAAGGCTAGAACATGACTCTCTAATGAGAGTGAAGTTGTTTCTTCTTTGAGGTTCCCTTGTGCGGGGATTGTGCTGTGGGAAATTTGGCTGAGGATGAGGGTTGCGTGGGGCCTAGTAATTTGTATTTTAGGGACATAGATTTTTGGAAGGTGGAGTTCTCATCTACTAATTCGGTGGTTGTGTGTAGGATTGTGTGTTCATCATCACGTATTGCGGTGGGGCCATAACATAGAAAAAAATTTGGTGGGAATAGTAGTGTTGTGGTGCTTTGGTTTGCATGTATGAGTGGTTGGGGATTCCCCGGGAAGTTGAAGCCATCAAAGCTCCTTCTTCTCTCTTCTTTTTGTTAGCCAGGCTTCTTGAGCCATTTTAAATGGCTTAGATGTGTCTTTGAGCGCGACTTGGCTTATAATCCTTCGAGTATTTAAAATATTTTTCCACCATCTCACCTATTTTGATTTCCTTGGCAAAATGCTTGCCTATGGCGGACATCATATTTTGGAAATAGTTAGATTCTTGAGCTTGGAGGAAAAATATTATTATTTCAGTTTTATCTATGGGAGGCTTGACCCTTGCCTCTTGTTCCTTTCACTTTATGGCATACTCAAGAAAGCTTTTCGTAAACTTCTTTTTCAAGTTTGATAGTGAGTTGCGGTCAGGAACAATGTCGATGTTGTATTAGAATTGCCTAATAATGTCCCGAGCCAGACCATCCCACACGTGCCAGTGCGAGATCTCCTAATCTATGTACCATTTTAAGGCGACCCCAATTAAGCTTTTACCAAAGTAAGCCATTAGCAGTTCTTCTTACCCNGGGATTTTATGTCCAAGAGGCAAGTGCACATAGGGGAACATGCAAATGTTACCAAAAGACACACTCATCTGGTCACTCAGACCTTGTATGTTTCGCACACTTTGTTCTAAACTCCTCAACTTCTTTGGTATTTCTTTCTATTTAGTGCTCTTGGCCGACTTCTCAACCTAGACCGGAGAACCATAGTGAGGAATTTGGTTAAAGGAGTTGGGTGTTATGTAAATCACCTCGGCTGAAAGGTAGGGGTTCTGAGGGGTAATGATTTGTGGTTCGTTGTTGGGCTATTGTATGTTAGGTTGTGGGGAGATATAGACGGGAGTGGTGGTGAGGACCACCAATGCAACTCTCGGTAATGGTGTTTGAGGACGGGTAGCAAAAGGCATGGCAACAACATTGTTGGGTGTAGGCCCGTACCAATAGGGGAAAAACGGGTCATGCACAGAAATATGGGGATAGAGCTAGGAGGCTCTCTTCCGTTAGACCAAGCTTCCCATAATTCCATCATCCTTATTTTCAGAATTCTATTTTCCTCTAGAGTAGCGAATTCTGGAGAAATGGCCAGAGTTTGACTGTCCTCGGAGTTGATGATGGGGAGATTGCTTTGAGTAATCATGGGGACACTTCCCTTTGACTGGAAGAAATAAGGATGTGATGTCGCGATAATACAAACCAACCACCTGCATAAACCTTGCCTATTTTTTCACACACAATATGCATGATAGTTTGGAGCATTTAGCAGATAGGAAATCACACGTAGTTGTGCCATGCACCTAGCATTTAAATGCTTTTAGCATGTACCTGAAAGGTTGCATGTGTCATCCTGGCTTTTGAAATTATTCCACCTCTCGTTTGTGTCTTTCTATTCTTTTATTCCTCTCAGATCTCTTTTTTCTTTTTTTACTCTCTGGTTTTTCTTCGTCTCTTTTAAACAGTCTTGAGTTTTGAGCAAGAATTCGATTGCACCCTTTAGGGGTAGATTACATATCATGACACCGCATGAATCAGATCCTTACATAATTCAGGAATAGACATATTAAAATGAAAAAAAAAAGAATCTTTTTTGGTTTTCAATATTCTATTAAACAAATTCTTTTTGGGTTTTTCATTACATGACTCAAAGCAAAAATATAATAAAAGAAATACCAAAAATAGACTCGATAAATATAAGTCTAATACAAGATAAAAAAACTCTAGATTAAAAAACAAAAAGACTCTAACAACTCTAATCTTGCCAACCAATTCCTTTGGTTGTCTCTTCACTCATTGCTCTGGACTATTTTCAATATACCTGTGAAGAACCTACAAATCGATAGACGTGGCGCACGAACCTCATTGTTGTGGCAAAGAACATGGTCTTGCTCATTTCTCATAGTCAGAATGTTTTTGTGAAATATATTCAGCTATTTTCCAAATTCTTCTCTTAGTGTCCCTTTAATCTTGGAACATTCTTCAGATCTGTTGCTCTTGGGTTTGAACCACTTGTAAGGCCACTTCTTTCTGGTTTTGAAAGTTTACCACATCACTTTCCAAAACGATTAAGCAAGTCGTAATAGTGCTCTCTCTACCTCAAATTCTTTGACAGGCAACTCATGGCTTCTTCAAGGGCACTTAATTCTTTTCTTAAGCCAAAGATTTTTTCATCATGGTTTTGTTTAGCTTGGCGAGACAACCTTAAATGGTTTTCTGTATCTTCTCCTAGCCATATTATCCTTTCCTAGGCTTTGTCCAATTCTTTCTATTTTTTGCAAATAGAATCATAATATATCACTTTCTCCCTCGGATTTGCGATGGTCTTTTGGTCTTTCCAGCTTCGGGTTGATACTCAGGTGTGCTCTTGATATGTTGGATCTGTTCTTTAAGGGCGTCATTCTCACGGATCAACCTTTTTCTTTCTCCCTCAGCTTCTTAGGCTTGCAAGTCTTTTTCAAAACTGATGACTGTCACCTTTTCTTGTAATGTCGTAATATTGGCCCGATAATCTTTTTCTTCTCTCCCCAGGTCCATTGCTCTTGAATTCTGTCATTGAAATTCTGGACGTGCGACCTCTTTGCGGGTCTCTCAGGTCCATCATTCACACAAGAACTTTTATCGTACCATGTAACGTACCCCGGATCCACCTGACCTTTTGTTGGATCTTGCACTTGTGTATCTGATTTCAAATAGCAGCATTTGTCCCAAATTTTTTGAGTTAGAGTTTTAGGGAGTGCGGCCTCTGGATGTAGCTCAATTACATGAATGTTGAAATCTTCATTATCCGACAGTACTTGATATCCCCAGGTAGCGTACGACTCTGTGCGCGACATATGTTTGGACACTTTGGAGACCCATCAATAATGG